TGTGTGTGTGTGTGTGTGTGTATATATATATATATATATATATATAAAGGACACTGTGTACAAATACACACATGGAACACGTGTATACATGTGTTTTCAAGGGGAATCATGGTAATGCAGAGTTGAGAACAAATCAGGATCTAAACTGTGATAGATATGTGTGTGTGAATATGAAATTTTTAATGGTTAAGAACCAGTAAACCAAATTCAAAGATATGAGATTATAAAGCCATTTTACCTGTGACTCTCCATTACTGCACTCTGATGATATAAAGGGTCGGATTCTGAGGTATACCTGAAGGTGTTCTCGCTCCTCTAAGCTGGAATTCTGTACAACAGCAACAAAAATGGGTTATTATACAAAAGAAATATGGTTTATTGTTTTAATCCTTAAAAGAAGCAGGTATTACCTGTGGTTGAAACCCAATTAAGGATGAATTGTCACTCTTTGAACTGTCTACCTCTGACTGCTCCTGTCGATCAGTTGTGTTGTTCAGATAGGATTCCATTATCCTGAAAATGTAAGAGGATACGAATATATATATATATATATAGAGAGAGAGAGAGAGAGAAAGAGAGAGAGGAAGTTAGTTGCGGCCGAATTAACAGTTACACTGATATGAGTAAGATACTTGGAATTCGTCTTTCAACACATGCACCGTACTTATTTTGATTTTTGCCCTAAATTTCTGACTTCATAAACCAAAGTTGCACTGCGAGTTGCAAATTACTGCAATGTGAATCGGCAGTAATGCTAATTTGTATTGTTTTTAACGACGGAGATGCAATTTTTTGATATGTATTTACTGCACGCTGAAGCTAACAGCTACCTATCAGTGACGACTCTATCTGCAGCTAGCATGCACTAATGCTAACAGTAAGCTGTGATTCGCCCGACTTGATTTAGGTCTTATAATTACCGAAAACTCTATGTTCATCACGCTAGCCGCGCCGTATTGTAACGGAATCACTCACCTGTCACTGTTCGTCGACACATTAAATCCACATAAATCCTTTATCCTAACGAGGTTAACTTTATCTACGCGTATATTCTGTCACTTGACAACAACAACTGTGCCGCCGTCTGAGTTCAAAACTGACCAATCAGAGGCAAGCAGAAAGCTGCACATGCGCATTTCATGTGCTGCTTTACGAGAACGCTTGTCTCACAAAAATACATTTTAAATTATGGTGACGATTTGATAATAATAATTGTAATAATCACCTTCATGGTGAGAATAATAACAGTATTATCCTTATTACTATAATAATTATTATTATTGTAAATGACCGAATTATTGTCTTAAAACCAGGTTATTTTCTACCTTTATTTTGAATATTTAAACGGATTGAACGGAATTTTTATTCTGAAAGAGTCTCAAAGGATCTAACAAGGCTAAATCTTTTGTGTTTCAACTTGTTTGGAAGTGTTTCGTTTAAACACAGTAAGTTGACCGCGAGGGTTTCAGTGCCAGTATTTGATCGAGAAGGGTAAAAGGTTTGATAATTTTATCTTTTTTGTGTTCATGTAAATCGTGAAAGTTGCATAGCCTCTAATAATGTGTTTATTTGTTTTCGTTGTAAAGGATGCTTAATTGGCATCATAGAGAGTTACCATGTCGATGACAAAGAGCGATCGGGCTAATTCAGTTATTTTAATTATATACACGTAACGTGTGTTTCTTTGTTATAAACGTAATAAAACAATGGAGTTGGTTTTATATAGTTTACAGAGAGAAATCATTTCATGTTTGTATTTGTGTGTGATTGTTTTTCCGCTATTGCGGTGTGTTCCTGGTTTGAAAAATAAACACTGAGAATCATCAGTTAAACAGTTGGACCATCATTCAGCCAGGATGCTATTAGATTATTAATATTAGTAGAAGTAGAAGTAGTTGTAGAAGTAGTAGTAGTAGTAGTTGTTGTATTCTTTGTATAATCTTGTTGTAATCACCCTTTTTAATGTAATGTTAGACGCTTGCTTTCACAACCCCAAACTTTATAAGTCAAGTATGGCCTCTTAAAATCCAGCCATTGTTTGTTTGCCATTCTATCCTTCTTCCCCTCAGGGGCAATGAGAAATTATGCACACTCCCTCTTTTTCAGTGAGTTTAAAGTCAGTTGTGGTGAAATCCAGTGGAGCACAGCACCATGGCCATGAACATCCCAGGAGTGATAGTTATGCTGATGTTCTACCTGCTGGTCCTTGGGACAGGCATCTGGGCTTCCTTTAAGTCAAGGAGGGAGCAGAAGAAAAGTGGGGCTGGTGAAATGGAGATGTCTCTGCTTGGAAACAGAAGAATCAGTTGGATGGTAGGGGTTTTTACCATGACAGGTGAGGAAACTTGACAACAAATAAGAATCATATTGAACTGTATTTTAATTTAAAGAATGGATAATTGAAGATCACCTGATTTGAGATAATACAGACATTAACAATGTGGTACTTCTCAGAAATAAAAAGAAAGATGGGGATTACACTGAAATGACAAAATAAACCTTGTTGTCTTGAATGCAATGGCATTAAAATCCTGACTGTAGATTAGGTCCATTACCTCAGGTAGTAGTTCATCCCGTAGAGTGAGTACTGCCATTGAGTAGATGTTTACATTATTTTGTGTGTTTGAGTTTTTTGGCTCTACTTCAATCTTTAATGCTATGTTCCTGGTCTGAAAAATAATTCGAAGGAGGCAAAAGTGCATCACGTAATACTCCAACTGGTCGTATCAGGGTTAAAAACAGAGTTTATCATATACTGATGGACAGAAAAAAACTGAGATCAAATGTTAAAATTATGTTTTAAAGTAAACATGTGGTTTTATGAAAAGGTAAGTAAATAAATGCTATGTTATAATTTACCACAAATCTAAATTATCAAGTGAACGTACTAATCACCAAATATGTTGATCCATTCTGTAGCTACCTGGGTTGGAGGAGCTACCATTGTCGGCACAGTTGAGATGGTGTACACACCTTCAATGGGACTAATCGAGGCAGTCACAGTGACTCTTGCATACAGCATAAGTTTTCTTTTATGTAAGTTTACATTACAATTTGAACAGTAAAGCAGTTATTTGACTTTTTGTTGTTAGTGTTCTGATTTGTTTGCTTTCTGTATAAATATCATATGTATCTTGTTTTTTTCTTTATCTTTTGTGTTTGTGTAAATATCAGTTGTTTTGTTTTTTTTGTTTGTTTTTTTTAAATCCAGGTGGCCTGGTGTTTGCTAAACCACTGAGAGAACAGAACTGTGTCACCATGCTGGATCCTTTTCATGTAAAGTATGGAAAAGTTCTAACAGCCATGATCACATTGCCCTCAGTTTTAATTGAACTGGCATGGGTGCCTGCAACGCTTATTAGTTTAGGTAACGTATAATTAGCTTTTTTATAAGTATTTTACATGTTTGCCTGTATACAGCTGAAATAATGGTGATGGCCTCTACAAAGAATTCAAATACAAATTTCTGTATTAGGAGGAGCAATGAATGTAGTCCTGAACTTGTCCTACACTGCGTGTGTCTGGATCTCTGCTGCTGTTGTTATCTTATACACACTGATGGGAGGTCTCTACTCTGTGGCCTACACTGATGTAATACAGCTGATTCTTATATTCATAAGTATGGTAAGCACCTTGTTCTCATAGGTTTTATATAGTGCAGATTTCGGGCGTTTTTCCTTACTTACATTTTCATTTATCTCTGCAGTGGCTCTGTGTTCCCTTTATTCTGATGAACCCCAGCTGCACAGACATTGGCCAGACACTGATGAACAACACCCTACACACTCCCTGGATTGGTTCACCACAACTGAAGAGGACTGGGCTCATGATTGACCAATTCTTATTTTTTGTAAGATAACACTTGCTACACTGCTATGAGTGTTACATGTCCTAAAACATTCATTCATCAGTAGAGCCATGATTTTATTTGTGTATTTAGCCACTTAGAGGCTAAACAGCATGTGTTTTTTCAGCAGTCATTTTGTAGAAATCCTATGCACTTAATGTATGGTAGGATTCATGCAGTCATGAAACCAGGAATTCAAGCAAATATGTAAATGTGTGCGTACATGTCAAGTTGAGACATGAATTTCACAGAGCCTTAAAAAATGAAGCTAATTCTGTCTCCTACTTTGAAACTCCATAGCATCAGAGCTAGTGGAACAACAGACCACAGGCAGAGAATATGACATTAGCCACTTCAGGCAGACATACTAAAATGTTGTCTTTTATTTGATACAAATTTGACGCTACTACAGATGTAACAGATTGTTTGTTTTTATTTAAGTCACTTGGGAGCGTAGGGTATCAGTGCCTTCACCAAAGAACCTTGGCCGCTTCCTCCTTACACACCGCCAAGATGACAAGTGTGATCGCAGCCTTCCTCTACACCGTGTTCTTAATTCCTCCTATTCTAGTGGGAGCTGCTGCTGCATCTATAGGTACTGTCAGTCTTCTCTTCAGAAACAAAGCTTTCACATTATATTTAATTTGATTTTAAATAATCTTACCACCACCTTATCATATTCCTCCACAGTTTATGGAATGTTGTCTCTCCAAGCTCAGTTTTGCTAACTTGTTAAACATATAGGTATGAAAGTGGACGATGAATTGATTCTTGCCATTGATATGGTGGAAAAAAGACACTGAGTCTAAACAGTCTTATCTTGTCTGCTGCTCCACAACCACGGAGTAAAAAAATATAAATATTTATTTAAGATTATTTAACAATAATTAACATTGAATATTTCGATTTAAATATATATATTTCAAATCAATTTTTTTTCTGTTTCTCAGATTGGAATCTGACATCCTATGGTTCCCCATCTCCAATGGAACGTGGCAAAGCAGCGATGGTCCTGCCTATTGCCTTCCAACACCTTACACCACCCTTCATTTCTGTTATCGGAATCGGCTGTATAGCTGCTGCTGTGATGTCATCAGCTGACTCTTGTTTGATTTCAGCAACTTCTCTCTTCATCTGTAACATTTACAAAAAACTCCTAAGGCCACAGGTAAGAAAATGTTCAAATGAGAAGCTATTATGAGTATTACTTTTTTCTGTTAAACGTTTTCACTTTATCTTCTTTTCTAGGCGTCAGACAGAGAGATTCAGTGGGCGATCCGGGTTACTGTCTTGGTAATGGGCTTGGTTTGTACCTCACTAACCAATGAGACAAACAGCATCCTATTGTTCTGGTTTATTAGTGCTGAAGTGGCCTACATCGCAATCTTTCCCCAGCTGATTTGCGTTCTCTTCTTCAAAATATCCAATGGTTACGGAGCTGTTATGGGCTATGTGGTGGGACTAGGGCTGAGACTGCTCTCTGGAGTCCCAACAATAGGACTTCCTGTTGTCCTCTGTTTCCCAGGATGTGTCCTTGAGGATGGCGTTTATGTCCAGTACGCTCCAGTGAAGACCATCTCTATGGTGTCTGCTGTTGCTGCCATATTGTTGTTCTCCTATCTGACATCTGTGCTCTTCAACAAAGGTCTGCTTCCTGAGAGGTGTGATGTGTTTAAGGTAAAAGTTCAACATACACCACAGCAGCTGAGTCCAGCACATGATACCAAGGAAGGCCATGAGATTGAGATGTTGATGCATAAATGCTCTCAAACTGAGTCCTCAGAACCAATGATCAACCCCAAACCCCAATCACAAAAGACTGTGGAATGATGTGGTCAGTATCATAACTCATAAACAAAGCTCAGGGGTAGAAGCTTTTGTTCTTGTCATGATAAGTATTTTGTCAATGTTTGTCATTAAATAATTTAAAAATGTGTTTTATTCACAAAACATAGTCTTGTTGTATTCATGCATAGCATCTACCTGCATGCATTATTTTTGATGGACTCATCATGTGTTAAAGGGTAAACATTTGTTTTATTTTTTATAACCAAACAAAAAAGACTTCAGATAAATATGTGCACAAAGATGACATAAACATACGGTTTTCTTTCAAACCTTGTAGCAAACCTTTCCTGTTTGCTTTGCAAATGTTTTAATTCATGGTTTTTATTCCATTTTGGTGGGAAATGTTGAACATGAATTACAGCTAAAACAATGCATTTAACTATAATGTGAATTCTATGAGCAGAGATCTACTTGGTGTGTTCAAGTACAAGCAACATCACCTCATGGAATTCATCCGAATCCAGACACATACAGTTGAGGTAGTCTGAGATATCTGTGTTTGTTGTCTGATTTTTGTAATTTACTTGAAAAGATTAAAGGTTTGATTGAATGTGAGTTTCTTAACCTGACAATTAACATAAAAAATATTTATTGCGTAAAGCAATGTACAACATTTGTAAGTTGAATAAAGAATAACCAATTGCAGAAATGTTTATTAATACATTATAGATCAGTTACATCTATATAGTCTTCCAGTTACAAATCACCATTGGAGGGCAACCATATTACTGATGTGGACTCAGATGTTTCTTAATAGAAACTTTAGAACCACTGAACAGGAGAATCCATTAGAAAGACCAAGTGAGACCGGTGTAGCCACTGTTGTGTTTTAAGAAAGCCGTCGTGCTGCTGTCACCATTGATCTGACGGAATTTACATAGAACAAAGTAATTTTCCTTCTGGACACCACCCGAGCCCCTACAAAGTACACACAAAACAAAAATATATTGTACAGATTTTTAAAAAACCATTATGGATTAGATACATCTTTATAGTCTTCCAGTTACAAACCACCCTTGGATAGCAACCACATTGCTGATGTGGCCCCTGGGGAAAATGAATTTGACACACCCATATCTAGGACCCAGGTGTTTCTTAATAGCAACTTCAGAAAGACTGAACAGGAGAATCCATTAGAAAGACCAAGGGCCAAACGAAGATGTGGGGAGTGACCCCAGAAACTGACCCCAGGAACGACATCAGCGCAGACAGCACATATGAACAGAAACAGCTAAGATATTAAATGGATAGAATCCCAAGACCTGCAAAAAACAGCCGAACTATACAACGCCTTGAAGTGGTGCTTGGTAACTCCCACTAGAGGTCACTACAGAACACAAAACAAAATCCCCGATCATCGAAACAGTAAGCAGCCCACAACAAAGAAAAGAAACGTTTGGATGTTTTTCTCAAAATAAATGTAACCCAAAACTAACCCGTACAAACATTTAAATATAGTTTTGCGTTTATCACTTATATAAATTAATATGCAACAGTAGATTTTTCACCACACAAAAAAATCTTTAATCCCTGGAATTAATCTATTCAGTTATGACACTTGATTAAACCATGCCACCTTTATATTAAAGCAGTCTGCCCACACATCATGCAGAATTATTCTTATGGTGTTAGAACTCCAACAGCAGATGATGGGAGACACTAACACTGTGTGTTCCTTACTAGCTCTTGAGTGTTAGTCTCAAAGCCTTTGTTAGTCAACAGCTCAGCCTCGTGGTCTTCCTTGGCTCTGTGAACTGGACTCAGTTGTTGTGGTGAGGGTTGAACTTTCACCTTAAACACATCCCACTTCTCTGGAAGCAGACCTTTGTTAAAGAGCACAGACCCTAGAAAGGAGAACACCACAATGGCAGTGACTGACAACAGCATGGAGATGGTCTTCACTGGAGCGTACTGGACATAAACGCCATCCTCAAGGACACATCCTGGGAGGCAAATGGTAACTGGAAGTCCAAGTGATGGCTCTCCACTGAGGAGTCTCAGCATAACTCCTAAAACACATCCTGCAACAGCTCCATAACCGTTGGAAATGTTCAAGAAAAGAACACACAACAGCTGTGGGAAGATAATGAGGTAGGCCACCTCAGCACTAATGAACCAGAAGAATAACACACTCTTTTTCTGAATGGTTAATGATGTCCCAATCAAACCAACAACCACCACAGTGACACGGATCACCCACTGAATCTCTCTCTCCGACGCCTGTGGAAGGAAATAGAGAGTACGAGGCTGTGTGAATTTGAATACATCTCCAGGAATTGCATCTTCAATATAATAGGACCTTCTATTTTTCTTCTTTTTGTTTCTGTTCACCTTTTGTCTCAGGATGTTCTTGTAAATGCTGGATGTGAAGACAGACGCTGCAGAAATCAACACAGAGTCAGCTGATGACATCACAGCAGCAGCCACACATCCGGTGCCAAGGATGGAAATAAAGGGTGGGGTCAGGTGTTGCAAGGTGATCGGCAGGACCATCGTTTTTTCCCCACGTTCATACGGAAATGGAGAACCATAAGACGTCATGTTCCAATCTGAGGAACAATGATGGAATAAAGAAAATCGATCAATATCAAAATTGTTAAATATTGCTCACATTATTCTGTGGGCTAAACAGCAGAATAATGTTCCAGGTCCAATTGTTTTCAGTTTACATATAATTTAAGACATAACAAGTACCTGTGGATGCAGCAGCTGCTCCCAGTAATATAGGCGGTATTATAAACACACTGTAAAGGAAAGCAGCGACTACACAGGTGAGCTTGGCTGTGGATAAAGAAGAAGCCGCCAAGGTCCTCTGATGTACACACTGAAATCCCAGACTCCCCAGTGCCTGTATTAAAATAAGAAGATCTGTGGGTATTGATCACACAGAGCTTTTATCACTTCATAATATGTTGCTCACAGTGCTAATTCATCTTACAAATAATAGAAACTGGTCAATCATGAGCCCTGTCTTTTTCAGGTCCGGTTCACCAATCCATGGAGCGTGTAAGGTGTTGTTCAACAGTGTCTGGCTAATGTCCAGGGTGTTCGGGTTCATCAACACAAAAGGAACACAGAGCCACTGCAGAGGGAACGGAAAGTGAGAAGTTTAGAAAAACTCCAACTTCATATTAGATTCAGAAATACAACAAACTCACCAAACTGATGAATATGAGGATCAGCTGTATGACATCAGTGTAGGCCACAGAGTAGAGACCTCCCAGCAGTGTGTAGATGATGGCAACAGAAGCAGAGATCCAGATACACACATTGTAGGACAAGTCCAAGATAACACTCATGGTTCCTCCTGTCAGAAACGTTGTGTTACTGGAGTTCTACCCTTTTCCACATTTTACTACAGCCAATCACCACACGTAGCAGGTAAAAGGGCAACTACTGTATGTGCAAAAGTATTTCAAACATATGCATAAAGTCCTGGCATTTTGGTGACAATAGCTAATGATATAAAACTGCAAATATCACTCACCTAACGCAGTGAGCGTAAGAGGAAACCAGGTCAAGTCGATACAAAGTGAGGACAACGAGAGTCCAGCTGTTATCACTTTTCCATACTTGAAATAAAAGGGGTCCATCATTGTCACGCAGTTCAGTTCTCTCAGGGGTTTAGCAAACACCAGACCACCTTGTGTAAAAAAGGGTAGTAGGAAAGAATTTCAACAAAATTGAATAAAAACATAACAGTTAAAGGGGTACAGGAATGGAAGAGGGGTGTGTTCCACATCCAGAAGATTCTAAGATTTCCATAAAGCTGAGTAAGTAATGAACAGATCAGAGACAAGACTGGGAAACAGGAATGAAAACATGAAATGATGGGTAATGTAAGAGACAAGGGCTCGAGTGAGATCGTGGAAGATGATCAGCTTTGAAGACACCAAAAGGAAGCTGGCTGAAATAAAAGAAAAGAAAATGAAAAGAGAGGCAGAGAGAGGAGACAAAAAGACTAAACTGCAACGAAATCAGTCATATCACATTTTTACTACAATGATTGTTTTAAACTTACATAAAACAAAAGATATGCTGTATGCAAGAGTCATGATGCCTGCTTCAATTAGACCTATAGAGGGCGTGTACACCATCTCTGCTGTGGCAATTATTGTTCCTCCACCAGTCCACGTAGCTACAGGGAAGATGAAGAGGTTTAAAAAAACAAAAAAAAAACAAAAGCAGTTTAACAGTTGTTTGAGTAATTAAATAGAATACATTTATTTTATCTCAATCAAATATTTATCCTCACATATTGACAAACATGCACATTAATTAATTTCTAATTACTGTAGTGCCTTAATTTCCTTTTGGGATCAATAAAGTATCTATCCATCTATTTCTAATTGATTAGTTGAAAAAAACAAACAAACTGAGACATACTGTATGTTGGGTTTCTTCCATTTGATTTCAGGTGTTCTCACCTGTCATGGTGAAGATCCCCACCATCCAGTTGATGCTTCGGTTTCCCAGCAGAGCCATCTCCATTTTATTGGCTTTACTTTTCTTCTGCTCCCTTCTTGACTTGAAAGCAGCCCAGATCCCGGTCCCGAGGACCAGCAGGTAGAAAAGCACCATCATTACCACTCCAGGGACGTTCACGGCCATGATGCTCTGATCCACTGATGTCCAAACTGACAACTGAGTGACATGAACTGGAAGCACCTGTGCTTTAAGTTGTGCTTCTGAACTTAATTGCACCCAAAACTTGTCTATTAAACAAATACATATAAAAGTACAAAGCAGCTAAGGTAACTATCATCTTTCATCCGCCGTGTTGCTTAAGGGGACTGTTTAATAGCAAAACCTCAACCTTGATTCTCAATAACATGCATATATATTTAAAAGTCCTGGGACTTGAGCCCAATGCCTCCTTGATTATAAATTTTCCCTAGTGTAACTGGATTCTTCAGTTCTGGGAAGCCTCAGAACTGGAGAAGCCTTTTGGATGAGAGGTGAAACGTGATGCATCCCACTTGAGCTGCCGTCAAGATACACAGAATAAGCACTTACATATTGTTATCTGTTAAAAACTGTAGGTTAAGTTGAAAGATGTAATATCTGGTAAATGGTTGAACGTCAGAGATGATTGCAGGTTGCAGACACCAAGAAACACGCTGGACAATGTGGTTTATGCCATTCAGTGCAGTGACGAGTGTACGGACCTGTACATTGGGGAGACCAAACAACCGCTACACAGGCGCATGGCCCAACACAGGAGGCCCAACTCCTCAGGACAGGACTCAGCTGTTCACATACACCTCAAAGACAAAACACACTCCTTCGAGGAGAAGAATGTTCTGATTTTGGCCAGGGAAGACAGATGGTTTGAGAGAGGGGTAAAAGAAGCCATTTTTGTCAACCTGGAAAAACCATCACTCAACAGAGGAGGTGGACTCAGACACAACCTATCACCCACATACAAAGCACTTTTAGGAACAACACCCAAAAGATTCACCTCAGTTTCACACATGAAAGAAGCAGGTGACTGAAACCGTTCTGATGAGGACCACAACAACCCATTAGACTCTTAACGACTGTTTACACTTTCACAGCTGACCCCAATGACCCACCCAACAGGTGGGTGCTGAAGTAGCTTCATTCTTTGTCACAGCTGTACTCTGTTGTCTGCTGTACTCTCCACCACCATTTAGAACTGAAGAAGCCTCTTGGATGAGAGGTGGAACGAATTCTTTGTGAAAATGTCACATCCAGTTGCCCAACAGAACTCTTCAACCTTGACCATGACCTGGATGACTGAGAATCTTCATAGATGACTTTATGATTTATGTGTTTGCTTTGGGTCGAGTTATAATATACTCATGTTATAAACTTCATCTACAAATATTTGCCATCCAAAGTGAATGTCTAATTAACTGAATGTTTGTTTCCATAGCTTATAGACAGTTAAATATTCTCCTTGTCCTTTTCACAATGGCACAGAATGACTGTAGTTACATTCGAAACTGAGTTGACCCAACCTAACATTGACAAAGGCAACATTATCCAGTAATTGTAATTTGTAATTTACTTGAAAAGTTGATTGAATGTGAGTTTCTTAACCTGATAATTAACAAAAACGATTTATTGCGTAAAGCAATGTTAGAGGTGAGTAGTAACGAGTTACATTTACTCTGTTACATTTATTTGAGTCCGTTTTTCATAAATAAAATACTCCTAAGAGTAGTTTTAAATCACTATACTTTTTACTTTTACTTGAGTAGATTTATGAAGAAGGAAAAAGTACTCTTACTCCGCAACATTAGACTATACTGAGCTCGTTACTCGACACAGAGATACCGGGTAAAGCTTTAGCTAGCCGGTCCATGATCCAGTATGTCTACTTTTACTTTGTCAGAGAGAGACTTCCGCCCAAGGCTCTACCGCGTCGCTGTGTTTAACCAATAAAACGTAGCCCTTGCCGTGCGGTCTATATCCACGTCTTTGATAACAGAACATGGTAGAATCAACGGTCGGGAATGCAGACGAAGACGAGGAGGCAAACACCTGGACCCATATTGAAAGCATGTTCTGTTTATATTAGTGCTAAATAGCAGTTACATCATGCGGTATCTTTTGTCTTCCAAAACAAACGGCTATTACAGCATTTAAAACTCAACGTCAAACCCGAGGAAATATGTTGCGGTAAGTTTGACGTACAATACAAATTTTTATTTGTTTTTAAGTGTGTAAATAATTATTTTTTACGTACTCTTTTATGTATTATTTAATTAATTTGGATTTTTATTGACGTACTTGAATTTACCTAAAGATTACTTTAAGAAATGTAATTAATTTGTTTTATTTTATTATTTTATTGATAGGATAAACTCCCCTCTGTAATTTTGAATTCTCATGAAAAAATTAATCAGATGTTACTCAACAGTTACTCAGTACTTGAGTAGTTTTTTTTTCACCAAGTACTTTTTTGCTGTTACTCAAGTAATTATTTGGATGACTACTTTTTACTTCTACTTTAATAATATTTTATACTGAAGTAACTACTTTTACTTGAGTACAATCTTTGGCTACTCCACCCACCTCTGGCAATGTACAACATTTGTAACTTGAATAAAAAATAAGTAATTGCATAAATGTTTATTAATACATTATGGATTAGATACATCTTTATAGTCTTCCAGTTACAAACCACCCTTGGATAGCAACCACATTGCTGATGTGGCCCCTGGGGAAAATGAATTTGACACACCCATATCTAGGACCCAGGTGTTTCTTAATAGCAACTTCAGAAAGACTGAACAGGAGAATCCATTAGAAAGACCAAGGGCCAAACGAAGATGTGGGGAGTGACCCCAGAAACTGATCCCAGGAACGACATCAGCGCAGACAGCACATATGAACAGAAACAGCTAAGATATTAAATGGATAGAATCCCAAGACCTGCAAAAAACAGCCGAACTATACAACGCCTTGTAGTATTGAAGTGGCGCTTGGTAACTCCCACTAGAGGTCACTACAGAACACAAAACAAAATCCCCGATCATCGAAACAGTAAGCAGCCCACAACAAAGAAAAGAAACGTTTGGATCAAAATAAATGTAACCTAAAACTAACCCGTACAAACATTTAAATATAGTTTTGCGTTTATCACTTATATAAATTAATATGCAACAGTAGATTTTTCACCACACAAAAAAATCTTTAATCCCTGGAATTAATCTATTCAGTTATGACACTTGATTAAACCATGCCACCTTTATATTAAAGCAGTCTGCCCACACATCATGCAGAATTATTCTTATGGTGTTAGAACTCCAACAGCAGATGATGGGAGACACTAACACTGTGTGTTCCTTACTAGCTCTTGAGTGTTAGTCTCAAAGCCTTTGTTAGTCAACAGCTCAGCCTCGTGGTCTTCCTTGGCTCTGTGAACTGGACTCAGTTGTTGTGGTGAAGGTTGAACTTTCACCTTAAACACATCCCACTTCTCTGGAAGCAGACCTTTGTTAAAGAGCACAGACCCTAGAAAGGAGAACACCACAATGGCAGTGACTGACAACAGCATGGAGATGGTCTTCACTGGAGCGTACTGGACATAAACCCCATCCTCAAGGACACATCCTGGGAGGCAAATGGTAACTGGAAGTCCAAGTGATGGCTCTCCACTGAGGAGTCTCAGCATAACTCCTAAAACACATCCTGCAACAGCTCCATAACCGTTGGAAATGTTCAAGAAAAGAACACACAACAGCTGTGGGAAGATAATGAGGTAGGCCACCTCAGCACTAATGAACCAGAAGAATAACACACTCTTTTTCTGAATGGTTAATGATGTCCCAATCAAACCAACAACCACCACAGTGACACGGATCACCCACTGAATCTCTCTCTCCGACGCCTGTGGAAGGAAATAGAGAGTACGAGGCTGTGTGAATTTGAATACATCTCCAGGAATTGCATCTTCAATATAATAGGACCTTCTATTTTTCTTCTTTTTGTTTCTGTTCACCTTTTGTCTCAGGATGTTCTTGTAAATGCTGGATGTGAAGACAGACGCTGCAGAAATCAACACAGAGTCAGCTGATGACATCACAGCAGCAGCCACACATCCGGTGCCAAGGATGGAAATAAAGGGTGGGGTCAGGTGTTGCAAGGTGATCGGCAGGACCATCGTTTTTTCCCCACGTTCATACGGAAATGGAGAACCATAAGACGTCATGTTCCAATCTGAGGAACAATGATGGAATAAAGAAAATCGATCAATATCAAAATTGTTAAATATTGCTCACATTATTCTGTGGGCTAAACAGCAGAATAATGTTCCAGGTCCAATTGTTTTCAGTTTACATATAATTTAAGACATAACAAGTACCTGTGGATGCAGCAGCTGCTCCCAGTAATATAGGCGGTATTATAAACACACTGTAAAGGAAAGCAGCGACTACACAGGTGAGCTTGGCTGTGGATAAAGAAGAAGCCGCCAAGGTCCTCTGATGTAAACACTGAAATCCCAGACTCCCCAGTCCCTGTATTAAAATAAGAAGATCTGTGGGTATTGATCACACAGAGCTTTTATCACTTCATAATATGTTGCTCACAGTGCTAATTCATCTTACAAATAATAGAAACTGGTCAATCATGAGCCCTGTCTTTTTCAGGTCCGGTTCACCAATCCATGGAGCGTGTAAGGTGTTGTTCAACAGTGTCTGGCTAATGTCCAGGGTGTTCGGGTTCATCAACACAAAAGGAACACAGAGCCACTGCAGAGGGAACGGAAAGTGAGAAGTTTAGAAAAACTCCAACTTCATATTAGATTCAGAAATACAACAAACTCACCAAACTGATGAATATGAGGATCAGCTGTATGACATCAGTGTAGGCCACAGAGTAGAGACCTCCCAGCAGTGTGTAGATGATGGCAACAGAAGCAGAGATCCAGATACACACATTGTAGGACAAGTCCAAGATAACACTCATGGTTCCTCCTGTCAGAAACGTTGTGTTACTGGAGTTCTACCCTTTTCCACATTTTACTACAGCCAATCACCACACGTAGCAGGTAAAAGGGCAACTACTGTATGTGCAAAAGTATTTCAAACATATGCATAAAGTCCTGGCATTTTGGTGACAATAGCTAATGATATAAAACTGCAAATATCACTCACCTAACGCAGTGAGCGTAAGAGGAAACCAGGTCAAGTCGATACAAAGTGAGGACAACGAGAGTCCAGCTGTTATCACTTTTCCATACTTGAAATAAAAGGGGTCCATCATTGTCACGCAGTTCAGTTCTCTCAGGGGTTTAGCAAACACCAGACCACCTTGTGTAAAAAAGGGTAGTAGGAAAGAATTTCAACAAAATTGAATAAAAACATAACAGTTAAAGGGGTACAGGAATGGAAGAGGGGTGTGTTCCACATCCAGAAGATTCTAAGATTTCCATAAAGCTGAGTAAGTAATGAACAGATCAGAGACAAGACTGGGAAACAGGAATGAAAACATGAAATGATGGGTAATGTAAGAGACAAGGGCTCGAGTGAGATCGTGGAAGATGATCAGCTTTGAAGACACCAAAAGGAAGCTGGCTGAAATAAAAGAA